ACTCCCCCCTGAGTAGCTGGACTACAGGCATGCGCCATCATGCCCAGCTAATTTTTTCTATATATATTAGTTGGCCAATTAATTCTTTCTATTTTTAGTAGAGATGGGTCTCACTCTTGCTCAGGCTCGTTTCGAACTCCTGACCTCGAGCAATCCGCCCGCCTCCGCCTCCAGCGTGCTAGATTAGAGGCGTGAGCCACCGCGCCCGCCTGTTCTTCTTTTTCTTTCTTGCTAGACAAGGGGAAAGGCCCTCATGTCTGTAGGCACTGTAGGAACATCAGCAGGTTTTCTCAGCTTTTTATTTGACCTGGCCATGTTCGTTAAGGAAAGGAATTTTGCTCTATTTGTTTTCAAAGAAATGTTTCTCCTGTGATTTCATATAATTCAATTATTTGTTAAGAATAGGCTTTTTAGAGGAAACTACTATGATAAGCCCGTGAATATATTAATAGTAAGTGATGGAGCTACATTGCCAGAGAAGAGAGATTCCCTGCATCGTCAGGGTAAGAGTTACCTTTTTAAGAGGATCAGATAAACAGAAGCATATCTTGCCTCTCTCCCCTACAGGGAGCCGAGCGGAAAATCCGGGATGAAGAGCGAAAGCAGAGCAAGAGAAAAGGCAAGTGCACTGCCCCCAGCTCCCAGGGGATCGCCTGTAAGTAGAACAGTTCCCGCCCGGCTCAGACCCTTCTGTTCACACCAGGCGCCGCAGCGTGCGGGCGGCAGATAGGCGTGGGCGGTTTCGCCGCCCTGAAGTGGTGGCACGCGTCCTTCCTCAGACAGGCAGATGAATGGCTGAACCCGGTGCTTCCTGGGGAGCTGCTGGAAGGGTCCTTGGGTTTCCAGACTCCAGCTTTTTTGGCTGTTGGTTCTAGTTCAGGCTGTTAGTTCCAGCCCTGAAAAAGCACACGTTCCACGTGAAACATTAAAACCTGTTAAAATTGAGACTTGTCTAGACTTTTAAAAATAGTGATAATGGCCTTTAGAATTCACGATGTCTCAATTCCAAATGCTTATCATTTTCTCACGTACGGAGCAATGTCTGACATTTGCGGGACCTGTGGGGCTTCTGTTTAGACATTTTACCAGGAAAGCTTTTTTTTTTCTTTAATGTGACCATATTCATATTCACAAGATCCTAACCTAAAGGAGACAAAATATTGCTCTGCGCCTGTAGGGTTTCACCTTTGGCACGCGGGCTGGCTGCGGTTCTGCGAGCAGACGTCTGAGCTCACTGGGCAGGGCTCCCCCGGCACCAAAGGGCCAACTCCCAGTGTCGCTTCAGGGGGCAGCTGACCAAGGAGGAAACTCCATTACCGAGTACTTCAGGGCCAGACTGTGGGGGCAGATGGAGTCTATAATTTAATAAATTAAAATTAGGCAGACCTGTTTACGCTTAACCTCCGTGTTGAGTTTTTGGTATGTTCTGAAGTCAAAAAAGGTACATTACTGGTAAAATGTAAATTATTTAATGAGGACCCCTGAGGTAAAATTACTTCAAAGTTTTGTTCGTGCCATTATAAATTGTAGCCTTTCCAATGAAAACTAAATATGGTTTGTCTCTGTCACATATCTTCTGTGTGTCTGTGTGTGTTTAAAGAATCTTTTCTTTTTGATTTTTGATACAACCTTCAGTTTTATTTTAGTGGAAATAACACAACAAACTCCTTCACATAAACTGTGATTTTAATCCGGGTGTGGTGGCTCACGTCTGTGATCCCAGCCACTCGGAAAAAAAAAAAAAAAAAAACATATATAAAAAGATTGTTTGCTTTTGAAAGCCATGAGAACAGCATTTTTAGTTGTTTTCTTTGCTCTTTCAGATCTCAGACAAATATGACGTTCCGCATGACAAGATCGGGAAAATATTCAAGAAGTGTAAAAAGGGGTGAGCAGCGACCGTGCCCCGTGCGACTCTGAAGCCCCGACACCCCCGGTGCCAGTTTGGCCCCCAGCGCCGGCCGCACACGTCCACGGTGCCCAGTCCAGAAGCAGCCGTAGAAACATGCTGGCATGGGGTTTTTCTTATAAATTATTTAGATAGAATTGATCTGCCTTCAAAGAGATCTTCTGGATTGTGTCCCAAGTGAAGTTTTTATTCGCTGTCCGGTGCGTGGCGGCAGTGAGCGGCTCCGTGCTCGGGGATGAAGCACGCTGGGGACAGCCGTAATCACACCCCCACAGTGAGCCCCGGCGTGAGCCAGCACCGCACCAGGCACTTCCCGAGTTGCCTCGCTGAGTTTTCATGTCATCTGTCCGAGGGGCTCACTGCGCCCTCAGTACTGGTTTGCAGACGAGGCAGCTGAGGCCCAGAGGGCGGGAGAGGCTCACCCAAGGTTGCGCAGCCTGTTACAAGGGGGAGCCGGGATTCAGGTTCAGCCTTGCCTGCCCTGAGCCTTTGTGCTTTCTGCTCTGCCGTCCTGCCCTGGGCCGTAGTTTCAAGTTGTATAATGTTGCTTCTTTGTCCAAATATTTTACTTGTCTATGCTGTTTGGCATGGATAAGCAGGGGATAGCATAAAAATTTTTGGCTTAATTCTAAAACAAATTCTAACTGGAATTTTCTAGATAGGTCTAGTTGAAAGAGTTGAACTTAATAGTAGTTCATTCACATTTGGGGGATAGGCCGGGCACGGTGGCTCACGCCTGTAATCCTAGCACTCTGGGAGGCCAAGGCAGGTGGATTGCTCGAGGTCAGGAGTTCAAAACCAGCCTGAGGGCCGGGCGCTGTGGCTCACGCCTGTAATCCTAGCTCTTGGGAGGCCAAGGCAGGTGGATTGCTCGAGGTCAGGAGTTCAAAACCAGCCTGAGGGCCGGGCGCGGTGGCTCACGCCTGTAATCCT